GGCAGTTAACTGCGAGCAGGCGGCATGACAGCACATAAATTGCTGCAACAGCGTGACATGCACGTGTCGACTGGCTAACAACTGGCAAGGCTGGCATTACATATCCTATTCCCCAAACACAGACTGAAAACATGACAAGGCAGCGCATTTATCAAGGCAAGGCAAAAAACCTGTCGCGTCGTTAAATCTGTTGTGAACTCAGTCTAATGAATCTTCCATTTGCGTACCACGTGGCGTATGAATAATTGTAATTATTAAAGTAGGATAAGGTAAGACAAGCACAAAGCTGCTTACTGAAAGGATTAGAATATGATAAGCAGTGTATATAAGCAGCAGATATTGTAAGCAATACATTCGTAAACATTTCAGAGCAAAGCCATAAAATATGTATGCCATAAAACTTGGAGCAGAAAAGCCATTGCAAAAGACAGAAGTTTGTTCAATCAAAGAGCTCAAGCTGTCATGGTTGATAATCACAAAATCAGAAAGTAATCGAAAGTGTGCTTCAGTGTTTTTGTTTAAAAACAGAGGAAGTGTTTTAATGCTCTCAACCATGAATCGTGATGCTTTGCCAGTGAAAATCAATAAGTGAGCAAAAATATGTGCTGCGATGCTGGCAAAAACTTAACACGTACTTAACACAAGAAACAAGCTAACAACGCTCTATATTATGTATATGGTTGGGGCAGTTTACAGCCTACTGAGACCAGTTGTTATTAGCAGGCATATGGCCTAATCAAATCAACGTCGTTGCTGAGCAGATCGTACACAAGCACAGAGAAGAGCAGAGCACGCAGCTCGAGGTATATCATGCTCATAACACGCATACGCCCAGTTGGCTGTCAACATTGTGAGTGCTCAATTACACCAGACAGAAGAACATACACACACACACACACATGCACCCACCCTCAGATATACAGTTACATTAGTAAGTTAACGACAGTAACAAAATTTTCTGCTCGTTGATGTTCTTGGAAAATAATGTTTGCAATGCTATCTTCAGGCAAAGGGAAATTTGTTCTGCTTGTACTTTAATGTCAAATTAAAATATTTACGTGACCTCATTTGTTTCTGCCTTGCAACAGCTGATGCTTGTGGCAAGTTTACTTATCCTTGTGCTCGCTTCACTTGACTTGTTGCTGCTGCTCAATCATAATTAAGCACTTTAGTTGCTTAGTATCCACTTATGTATTTAAACGAGGCATATATGTGACTCAATCTTTGGCTAAATGCTCATTTAATTGCCATTTTAGCCATAAATCTCAGTGCTTTTAATTAGCTATTATAACTTATATGATGTGGATTAGTATGGCAACAAGAGCTGTGGCAGCAGAGGTTTAAAGATGAATTAACAAAAAGTTATTTTGATTTTCTAATCAAAGGATATGCCAGGATCAAGAAGCATATATAAATGTAAGTTAACCATTTATGCAGGCTTGAACATAAAATCTGACTTTGCCATCAAGCCAAACTTCATGCATTGATTGAGACTTTTCAATTGAAAGTGCTTTTATGCTTACATCTTTAATGTTTCTGATCAACATGTGTTGTGGGAGGAGCTACTTAATATTGCATAAGTGGGAACCACAATTGTTAGTCCCAGTGCTGCGATGTAGTAAATGGAAATATTCATCATACGCAGCGTTGGCATACTCATTGAAACTTGAAATGTTGCGTAGGCTGCGGACTTTATTTGACATTTTAAGTTCATTTCCATGCAGCCCACTGGAGGTCTTTCAATTACTTTGAAGCGCGCTTGGTGCTTTTAAGTGTGCTATAAAATTCACGTTATTTTTTGTATGAACTTCTCGGCTTTTTTTTCGACAATAAGAATTCGTTGTCCCGCGAGAAATCAGAATACGGAATGTACATTAAGACGAAAAATCCATTTGGTAAATGCTGCCGAATTCGAGGTTTATAAGTTTTTATTTTATCCCTTCATTCTTTTCGCATCATCACTTTTTGACCAAACACGCACGTTAATGCTTTATAACTCGACGACGTGCTTCGTTTATACATTACATTGTAGACGGAATTTAAAATAGCCCCAAAAATAAGGGGAGCCTCGTGCTGCACCCTCAAAATAATGCTCAAACGTTGCGCAGCCCATAAAAAGGGATCAGGGTGTAGTCGTTCGCAACGCAGTGGGCTGTCAAGCCAGTCAATAGGCTTATGATTTATATCACCATTAGTAAAGTGCGGATCATTGGACGCTCGTGGCCCGTACTATTGGGTTGACCCAGCCGCTCTACTGGTTGCTTTTTATGGCCCGAAATACGTTTTAGCCTTTTCCCTGTCAATTTTGTAAACTAAAGAGTTTGATAATTCATACTTCCTTTCTACCTTAAATATCCTTCCTCAGCCTCTGTTGAGAGTTTCCTTTATCATTTTCTATGTTCCCATTGCACTTTAATAAATATTCAAATATTATTCAACAGATGAGTCTCGTTTCGCTTGCCTAAAGTGCTCAAGAGCGATGTGTAGTCATCAGAGCTAATGGCGTTGTGTTTTGAAAGGCCAATAAGGGGAAATCCTAACAGGTGTTTATCGCAAGGTATGTTCAACAGTTTGCCGTAATACTGCGTATAAGCAATTTGCAATAAATAAAGCGAAGCATACGTACTTTAATTAATTATATAAAATGGTTACAGAAACATAACAATTGCCACAACGACAGGATGCCAGGACCTTTGCTTGCGTTTTGAGCAATACAAATTTTAATTATCTTTTCGCAGCAGCCCAGCAGCTCTGGCTTCCTTTTGACACCACATGCCTCCACAAACCACACACAGCCACAGCAGGTGCCGAATCAGCGGAAATCAACAACAGGCGCCAAACGACAAAAGGCACAAAGGACACGACGACAAACAAGATAAAAGCAACAAAAGATTTCAAACAATGACAAATTAAACAAAATACGCAGCCAGGCGCATGTCAAATTGCTGCATAAGAATCTATTTATCATTTATAATAAATTTAAGATAAGTGAAAAACTGGAAAGTGCAACTGAAGTGCACTTCCTCTTTACTCACAGCAGCTGTGCGAAAATGGATTTTCTCTTGTTTACCAATTGATCATTTTTAGCGAGTCTTCAGTCAATTTAGCTGACATTTTTAGCTCTGAGCTTATTGTACTGTGAAGGAAACGTAGGAAGCAGGATTTCTTTAAACAGAGACATCCGACTAAGACATACACTAAGTCTTGGATTTTTATTGATTGCGAATAGTTTTGAGGTAAGTTATTTTATACAATATTCAGCATAGTATAATTTTACTTAAAGTATTCTATGTAGCTATGGACTAATTAACACACACCCTGCTCTAATTTAAAATCTTGTGAATAGAGTTTGCTATTTATGTAGCACACAGTTTCATTAAACCCTTTTATTTTCTCAGTTTAGTATATAAAAAGAAAGTTAAAGCCCTCTTAAATGCTGGAAGCTGCACGTGCCGCCCATATAAAGAGCGCATAAGTGTGGCAACGCGTCGAAAATGTCGCCCATAATTCAACTAACGAAAACTGGAAACTTTTGGGCAGCTGCCGCTCTGCACTGCGTCCATTAGTCCGTTGGTGCTTTGAATGTGTTTATTTGTATGCGTGCCCCTAAAACGGAAAATGTGTTCGAGCACTACGTTGGCTGACTTGCCATTAGCTTTGGACTAAGCACACATACACACATAGAGGCCAATTATGCAGCAACTGCGCCCGAGCATCAGTTGTTTGAGTAGAGCGTGCAAAGAGCTGGGCAAGTTTTGAGTTGTTGCTGGAAGCTTTGGCCTTCGCTTCGTCAACTCTATGGCTTTGTCACTTTGAATGTATATTTTGGGCTGCGATTTAAAGCTGGGCTAATGAGTCATTTAATTTTAGTATTTACTGTACTTAAGCTGAGCGTCTTTCGATGCTTTTCTTATAGGTAATCAAAGTGCATTATCAGCTCGTATGCCAAATTTGATTCGTGATTTGCATAATGCCCTGACTGCGTCTGAAATTTAAATGAACCTGACATTCGTAAATTACAATTCAGTGTATATATGTCTGTGCTTGAGTATATATAAATCTTATTACAGTTTATTTATAATTCAGTGCACAACATGAATTACGTTTGTGCTGCGGTGCGTATACGTTATGTATATTTGTTCGTCTTGGGCAGGTGACTGTTGCTTGTAGAGCTGCCGAAGGACCTATTTGCAGAGCAGCTGGTGTAACTGGTAAATGTTCTAGAAATGCTCTCAAATGCATGTATCCCGAAATTTATTGTCTGAATGGTGAATGCCAAGCCATAAATCATAAAGCAAATGACAGCAAGCAGCTTCCAGTTCTACTATTTTAAAACGCAAATAAAATAAATTAATATAAATAGCTGTGCAAAGATATGAATATAAATAGAAAAAAACCTACGTGAGGGTGGGCTTTTAAGCTGGAGATTTAAGCCAGAGATGCTTATGAACGTTATGGTTATTTGCAAATAATTAATAACATAAATTAAAGAAGAAGAACGCGTGCCAAGAGAAACTAAGGATGGAAGTCACTGCAAAACTAATCGATATATTTTAAAGTGCTTAAGTCAAAAGATGTCGACTGTTACTGCAAATGCACTGCAGCTAAACTATCGATATATAAGTTAAGATTTTTAGTGCTGACAGTAGCTGACCTACCACATCTATTTATAGAATTATTTTTGCATAAAATATATCGATATGCTAAAACGAGTTTAGATTCTCGCCGACAAAATTAGCGATTATTTATGTAAGCTATGCTGCAGATGACCTTCAAAATTTAAATAATTTTGCATTCCGTTTTGTGCATAATTTAATTGAACATAATTAGAATCATTTTCTATCTGCATTGCACCTTCAACAATGGAAAAGTTTTGCAATCTAAGCTGCAATCTAATTAATTTTGCAGTTTGCAGTCAGTGTTACATGTTTGCTCTGCGCAATTGGGGGAACTTCTGCTGTAGTTTAATCATTTAATCATTTGATGTAGCAAATAAATAATTCATGCGCCGCATTGTACGACCTAGTCTTAAACTGTGATCGGGCGCGGGTTGAGCTATAATTGCAACTGTGGCGTGATTAAATTATAAGGCTGCCCGAGCGACCTTTTAAGCGTCCCCTTGACGCCGCCATCGCAGCTGTTGCTTTTAATTAATTTGCGCTTAGACGTCGAGTTACGAAGAAAAATTACCAGCCGCCCAAGCGAGAAAAAAAATAAAATAGTAAAAGTCTAGCTTAACGTTTTTTCTTGGCGTTCAGGTGAGAAATGAACAATGTTTGCGGCCAGTAGGCAGTCGCCACCGTCATTACGCAGATTTCTCTAAGGTACACATCCAAAAAAAAAAAAAATAAATTACTGTGGACGTGCTTCGGATCCGAGACGCAGATGTGGGTCAACAGCTGGTCGCAGTGGTGCTTGAGGCTGCACTTCCGCTACATAAATTGGCGACCAAAGTTTTATAGTTTGGCAGTCCTGTGGATGGGTTGAGGTGGACGTGTGGTTAGACAAATGTCCCATTAAATATTTGGTTTTGGTAATAGGAAATTCTATTAAGACAAGGTGAGTAAACTAGATAGCAGCAGACAGTATGTGTTAGGGCAAATTTAAATAGAATGAAAATAGATTGAAAATAAATCTATTAAAATTGGGCAGATAGTCGGCAGCATAAAACAAGTCAACTGTTAATAGATGCTCTAGTTATTTTTAGAATTCGACGTCACAGAACCAATCACGTCCACGACAAGTGCACACATGCAATCAGATTTGTTATTGAGATTGATTTTGTCATACTGTCAACAGATAAGGCGAAAGTGGGCGTGCGAGTCCATTCACACGTAAAATCAAAGAACTGCTGACCATGGGATTGACCCCAGAGTGTTCACGTGTTCAATTGGAAAAAGTCTGACGCCTACATAGAAATGTGCACAACAAATGATGCGACATCAAAACTCTAGCCTCAAGACCAGAACACAAACAGTTGGTTTAAATAGCACTAAATAACAGCTGCCTGTTGTGGCAGTTCCGCTTGGGGCTTTGCTTTATGTGCCATGGCTTTATATATTTTTATGCCCAACGTTGCGCAATTTGTGTTGCCATTTGATTAATGTACAAAGCCAAGTAGAAGTCCCGAAACGTCCTTGTCGTTTTAATAAAATGCAAATTGATATCGTCATGAAGTCAGCATCAGCTTCAGCTTTAGCTTCAGTTTTAAAATCTAATTTAGTCTTTACATTGCGCTGCATAAGCTAAGCTAGATATTGTTATATATTTTGTTAGCGCATTTGACAACTAACGTAATAGACATCGGAAAGGAGCGTCACAGAAATCCAATTAAAATGTTAAAAAAGATTATTTATGAAAGTATTTTATATAAGAAATTACTTAAATCTTTCAGGTTGTCTCAATATATTATATTTTCCTAAGCTACAAATTGGTTCGATGTGTTTTTCTTATTACAGCGCCCCATTTTGGGCCTCTTATTTGTCTAGTTTCGCTACTGCCGCTGCTGCCCATTTGAATAAACACATTAGGGTGCCGCAGAATTTGGCGCCTTTCGCCGCTTCCTTTGGAAAACTGTCGCTGCCCACGCGAAAGAAATATTGAACAGTTTTGCTGACACAATTTTTGCTATTTGCTGTTGCTTTATGTTTGCAAATGCGAAACGAAAAGAGAAAATATGAAAATGTTTAGCATTCAGCTGACGTTCTATTTGTTTACAATCGAAACACAGGCCCCCATACATACCCTGGTGTTCGCAGCAGAGTTAAGGCTAATGACAGCAGCTATTTGATAAATGCAATAAAATGAATGCATAAAGATATCAGAAAACTAACTTTAACTAGCGCACACTGGGTACTTCGCTTGGGAGGCACGTAGCAGAGAGAGCCCAGACTTTTGAAAGCTTGTCAAATTTGCAGTTTGCCCCGGCAATTGACAAGAGTTTTAGCCGCAGACGTGTCGTGTCGGGGCCAGCCCCTTTTGTGGCAGTCCCAGCCTCAAAGACCAAATCATGCATGCAAGCCCATGCAATATGCCTGGCTGTCAGCACAAATGTCCGTATCCACATCCGCATATAGATATACCCGCCCACACGTGCCCCATTCGCAGAAAACGCGACGCAGCTCAATAAATAAAAATTTATTCGCGCTGCCAGTGAAAATCGCATGTAGTATTTGGTTTTATTTACAATCACATGAAGATATCGCCACGGTTCAATGCTCAGTTGTTGCCGATATGGAATTTTTATTTTATATTTTTCATGCTGGCATGTTTTGAATTCATTTGGTTACCTTTTGTGTTATTTTATGTTATTTATTATTATCTTTGTGAATTTTCTAAAAATATTCAGAAATGAATTTGCAAATTGTTTACGTTTAATTGGATACCGTCAAGCGGCATATTTGATTTAAGTATTTTAAAAAGTTTTCAGGATTTATGAACAATGAAAATGGCAAATCCAAATAAATATTTGATTAAATTTTGAGTGCATAAAAAATGAATTTTCAAGCCAAAGTCATGGCATTGAAGCATCATAACTAATTTGTAGCCTTGCAGCTCTCACTATACTATATACATATCAGAGCTAAGCTCATTTGCAATTTGGCCAACCAAAAACTGCAATTGCACTAATTATGCAAGTCGCTTTCACCCAGCCCAGTCGTTTGTCGAGCATGTGGCCCTCATGACATCAAGCCAAAATTTTTAATGCCACTCAGTACATGGCTCATCATAAGCAGGCATGGCAGGGCGGGGCTGAGCTGCTCGGCCACTGAGCCGGAAACACTAACGAGAAAACTCTGCAACATTTTTGGTGGCAATATTTTTGGCAAACGATGTTGCCGCTGGCGCATTTCTGGTTGCATTGCCAATGAGGCTGCAATTTGGCAGCATTTTGTGGCCACAGCCGCAGTTTTCGGTTGCCACGCCTCCTGCTCTTCAGCTTTAAGTTATGTGACTGCAAATCACTGCGGCATTTAGCTTGATTATTCATTATTTTGAATGGAAATGCGGCACTAAATGAATCGGCGTTGGCCATAATTGAGCCTTAAGTTAGCCGAACTTTAATTACGTCCCAGGTCGTGCTTGAATTGGCACAGACAGCGGGTTGCCTTAAAGGATTTAAGCATTAACACGCTGAAGTACAAGCTCTTTGTTATGTGATAGACGCATCTGCTGGGCAACATGACAGCCAGACGGCGAACCATAACCACAACTTGAACCAGAACCAGCCAGATCAGCACTTGGGACAGCTTTGTTCCTGCGACAGTTTCACGCTTCATTTACATAAAGAGTCGCTGTACATTGTGTACCCAGCGGAGACAATAGCGCCACAGCTGAAGTCATGCTCTGACAAATGTTTTGGATTTGCCAACTCTGCGAAAGGGTCTGGTAACTACTGTGCCACTGTCGATAATGACCCGACAGCAATTTAGTAGTTTAGCCCCTGGAACTTAACTGCCTTAAAGTAAAAGTTTTGCGCATTTCTACTTTATGAAGTGTTAAATTTAATATTAGGACGACATTATTTAATTTGTTCGCTGGCAACAGTTGTGGCCTTTGTAGTAAACATGATACTAACCACATTGCACATACGACATGTTGGCTGCATAAATTAGCTTAGGCCATTACCCCAACCACACGGTGGGCTTTTCAGTCAGCGCGAGGCAGCGCCATCTGTTGTCGCCTTTTGCATTGACCTTAACCCCTCACGCGAGCAGCGTTAAGGAAATGGAAAACAAAGCAAACACTGCAAAGCACAAACAGTAGCAAAGTGTGCACAAGGCACAAAGCAAAACTAAGTCAAAAACATAAATATTGTCAAGTGAGCCGAGCAACAGCTAACGGTAATCAGCTGTTTGCCAACAACAGCTGGCCTGAAAGAGCGCCTGCGCAGCAAAGCTAAATGTAAGAGAGTCGCTCGACAAGTTAAGAGCAAGCATTTGCAGACGCAGTTTGACTTTGTTTGACTTTTTCTGACTTTGCAGTTTGGTTAGGTTCCACTTTGGCTTTGACGGCCGTGGATCTTAACTTAGTTTCTGGCTTTCCGGCCAAATTACTGCCAACAGTTGCCGCCAAATGCTGCTGCGAATCGTGCACACATTGATTGCCGCTCGGTGCGTTTAGCCTGTCAGCGCGAATTCTCGTCTTCGGCATTTGGCGTCGTCGTTGTCGTCGCCCGTCGTCAGAGTCCGGCTCTTCGCTGCGAATTATATCATGCGAAATTTCGGCAATGTTGTCTCAGTTGTATTTTGTATTTCGTGCGCCACGAATCGGTTCAAATAGCCGCACGATCGGCTCGGCCCATTAAACAATACGTCTGCTGCCGTATGGTCAGCGAAACTATGTGCAGAATTAAATTTAATATTTAAAAATAAAATATAAACTTCAAGTAAAATGTGTTTTAAATGTTTTGTGTAGATGGCTTCAAAATTTAAATACCATAACAAATAAGAACTTTATCTGTGTGAGCTGCAAATCCCCATTTGCTGTAAGTGCCTTGAATTATTACAGCCATTCATTATGTGCTTCATGCTAGATATACAAATTCTGAATTGAGCAGAGACTTTCATTGAAGATAATTGGCAAACAAATTTTAAATAAATATTCTAAATTCTACATTTTCCTAGCCTTCTCATAAAATAAATTTTCATATCTTACATTCTACAATTTTTATTACATTTCCAATCAATTGCTTCGTAAGCAGCATTTTCACATAACTAAACGCTTTAATCATTTGTAAGAAATCGTTGAAGCCACAATATTTTACATTCATTTGTGTTCAATTGAACAATACGCGTGAATAGGTTTTGTGTTTCTCTATTAAAATTAATGAAGCGTTATTAATGAGCCGGAGCATTTTCCAATAGCTCGCTATTAATATGCCTTGGCTAAGTATAAAAATCTGATCAAATAATTTTCTAAATTTGTTTTTCCTTCCATAATATTGCAGCTCAGATAATTTTTAGGCAACTCTTTGTGTTTGCTGTTTGGGAATCGCTTGAAAATAAGAAAAGTGTCCCAAGTCGAGAAGGACAATACCGAAGGCGAAACAATTCAAACAATCTCGAAATGGTACTAGGCAAATAAAAGCGCACGTTGCTGGCACGTGACGACACAAAATAGAAAAGAAAGTGCTACTTGAGAGACAATAAATAAGAAGAAGAAGAAGCAGAAGAAAACGCATTGAAAAGACAAGTGTGCCACACTTGAGTGTATGAGTCTGCTAGGGTTATGAAACGAGTCCCCAGAATTGGCTGAAAATAACTAGCGGGAAAAAAGGCTACTTAAGCACAGGTAGAAAATCATATACAGGCGGGAGTGAGAGCGAGGGCACTTTCAATTGTTAAGCTGCAAGTGCATTGAAATACAAGTATTCAAGTGATTTTCCACCATGCAACAGCAATGCCGACCATGCTGTTGAGTGTCTCTGTGGCAGGTGTGTGCAGTTGTTGCGGCTGTTGTGTTAATTAGAATTCGTGTTGCCATTAATTGGAACACGAACTGGACAATCGCAAAGCAATGAAGCTGCTCTTCAGTGGGCGTCATCAATCAATGGCTAA